GAAACCTAAGAAAGTGAACGAGTGAACCACATGAATATATGAGAAGAGTGTTAGCTCGGCAGAGGAAACTGCTAGTCCAAGAGTCTCAATGCAAGAACACATTTGCCGTGTTTGAGGAACAGCTGGGAAGTCAGCTTGGCTGCAGCATAGGTTTAAGGGGGAGTAGACTGTAGGAAGAACAGATTTGAGGGGGAAAAAAAAATCAGGAATTTGGTTCCTGATACATCAAGTTCGTGATACCTATTAATTATCCAAGTGGAGAGGTTGAAAAGGTAGTTGGATGTATGGATCTAGAGCTGAGAATCCTAGTCTGGAGATTCTGAAAGTCAGTTATATAGATGGTATTTAAAATCAAGAGACTAGGGCTTCCCTGGTGGCGCAGTGGCTGAGAGTCCGCCTGCCGATGCAGGGGACACGGGTTCGTGCCCCGGTCCGGGAGGATCCCACATGCCGCGGAGTGGCTGGGCCCGTGAGCCGTGGCCGCTGAGCCTGCGCGTCCGGAGCCTGTGCTCCGCAGCGGGAGAGGCCACAACAGTGAGAGGCCCGTGTACCGCAAAAAAAAAATAATAATAAAATAAAATAAAATCAAGAGACTAAATGAGATGACAAAGGTGGAGAAAAGAAAGACTACAAGATTTGAACCCTGAGGTTCAACATTAGCGGTTAGGGACAGAGGAGGAACAAGCAAAGGATTCTAAGAAAGACTGGCCTGCAGAAAGACAGGGAAAAAAATCAGAAAAGTATACTATCCTGGAAACCAAAAAAAGAAAAAAAAACCAAGAAACATATTTCAAGGACAGTGAGTGGTGAGCTGTGAAAAAGTCTGCCGATTGTTTTTGGTTTTTTTTTTGGGCGGTGGCCTCTCCCATTGCGGAACACAGGCTCCAGACACACAGGCTCAGCGGCCATGGCTCACGGGCCCAGCCGCTCCGCGGCATGTGGGCTCCTCCCGGACCGGGGCACAAACCCGCGTCCCCTGCATCAGCAGGCGGACTCCCAACCACTGTGCCACCAGGGAAACCCTGCGGATAGTTTTTAAACCTTAGCTTTTTAAACTACTGGCTTTAGCAGCAAGGAAGACATTAGTGACCTTGACAAGAGCAGTTTTAAAGAAGTGGTAGAGCCAAAGGTCAGGCTGGAATGGGCTGAATGATCAGAAGAGGAAAGATAAAGGTAACTCTTTTGAGGAGTTTTTCTATAGAGGGGAAAAGAAAAACTGAGCAGAGTCAGAAGAGATGGGTGGCTCAAGAGAGAAATTTAAAATAGTAGAATTAACAGCATGTTCTATGATGACAGTAACAGTCCATTAGAGCAGGAAAAATCAATGATCCAGGAGAGAAAGGGAAGATTTGCTCAAGCCATGTCCTTCAATTAGAAAGAATGGGACTAAAACACAAGTAAGAGGGATTGACCTTTGAAAAGAGCACAAACAGTTCATCCATGGTAATCTACAGGAAGTCAAATTATGTGTGTCAGAGACTAGTAGGTGGACAGATGTGGATCATTCTGATTACTCCAACTTTGTTAGTGAAATATGAAGCTAAAAGTGATGGAAAAGGAGGTGTTGGAGGGTCAAGTAGAAAGAAAAGTACATTAAATGGATGTCTGATTCAATAATCATTTTTTTCTGCTAGGTATAATCAGCTATTTAATCCATCCATTGATTTCTTAATTTCATTTCTAGAACTTCTATTTCATTATGTTTTAATCTTTTGGGTAATTCTTTAAAATTTCTTGTTCTTTTTCATACTTTCAAGGCTTTTTATTTAAACACATTAAACAGTGATTTTAAATTATGTCTGATATTTTCAAAATCTAAGGTCATTATAGGTCTATTTCTATAATCTATATTTCTAATATGTCATTCATGGTGCCTTTGTGTGTTTTGACTATTAGCTTATTCTTCCTGACACTTTATCTTCAAGAATTCTTTAGGGCCTGGGTTGTAAATAAATCCCAGTATATTTGGATATTTGCTTTTACCAGTAAACTGGGAGCGTACCAACCTGAGGCTGCTACAAATTAAATTTCCCACTTAAAGCTTTTCCCAGTACAGGTGGCATGAATTTGCCCTGTATAAGGGCTGGTTCATGGTTACAAATTCTCAAGGCAGTTTTTTTTTCCCTTCCCCTAGCAAGTTTCTTCACTTTCCCCTTACTTGTGGTGGGTTTCATTTCTCATTTACCCTTGTATTGAAGATGTAGCTCTGTGGAGCCCAATCTTTATGGTGGGGCCTCCTTTTATTTCCCTCTCTTTGGGCAGGCACACACTTTATTTGTTCACTCCACTCCATGCAGTTGTTAAAGCAGAAGGCTCAAGGTGTTCAGAGTTCGGGGGAAGTCCTCAAGGTAATGGGACTGAAGCAGCACTGTTTGAGTCTCAAGGTTCTGGCTTTCCATCCTGGGGGGGGGGGTGCGGGGCGGCTTTATGTATTCCTTGATTTCCTGCCACCTCAGAAATGCATTTTAAAAAATTTAAAAATATATCTGACTGAAGTTATTTCTTTACAGGAAGATTAACTTGTTATATCACTTGTATGCACTATGTTTTTAGTTCCTATGTTTTGCCATAATACAAAGCATATTTGCATTTCATTTATAAAACATGGAGTATGTGGTGTACAAATGCCTATCATTTCGTGTGCTTAAAAATAATTTTATGCTTTTAATGTAAGGAGATAATATTCAAAATATTCATCTCCTTAACTAAGTTCTTCTGAATAGAAGTACTTTTTAAAAAATCTAATTCTTCCCTTTATTCTTTACCGTTTTTCTTCCAATTTAGTGTATGAAAGAGAAAAGAAAGAACTGGCTTGGTTCCATCTTTTTATTTTCCTGGGTCTCCCTCTGCTCTATTTCTATACCGCAAAGAAGCAAGCACGCTGAGATGCACTGTATAAACCAGAAAGAAGCCTACTGGGGCTCCAGTCTAATCTTGTTCACTTACTTAACAAGTGTGATATTTATCATGTAAGCTCTCTTAACGTCATTTACCTCAATCGGCCCACAGATATGTCAAATAAAATGAGATAATGTATATTTAAACATGTTACAGATTAAAGTACTATCTAAAATATGATCCAACACTATATTAGAAAGTACCACTGGAAACAAAAAACATATATATTCATTTTTGAGGACTGTTTGGTACAATGCTACCTTGAATATGTGCAAATCTTTAACTATTGAACTATATATATTCATTTGGACATAATGAAACTTAAATTACATATATTCACTTGGATATAATAAAACTTAAAGTACACATGGAATTATAAAGCATTAATACACATAATTAGTGATAGGAACCTAAAACAAAGCTTCTACATTGGTAATAAAGTATACAATTAATATATGCTATATAAAGAGAAAATGAGAAATCAAAATTTTAAAAAATAGCTAAATGTAAATTCTACTCAAAAAGAAACGACCCACTAATAACCAGAAAATAATTTTGCCAAAGACAATTCGGAAAATATACTTTTCGTAAGTCTGGTAGATATGCCCAGATTGCCACTATCTATTTCAGTGTTTCCAAGTGGGGTTAAAAGATAGTTACAAGGGTAACTGCATTAGTTACTTGCAAGGCTGGTTTAAAATGCTGATTCCTGGTTCACATCCAGATCCCTTAAATCAGAACATCTGGTAATGGACCCAGAGAATCTGCATTTTTAACATCCCCCCTCCCCACCCAAACCAAAAGTCTGCCCCTTTTATTTTTGTCAAATCATTCATTTAAAAAATATTCAGGGACTTCCCTGGAGGTCCAGTGGTTAAGACCTCACCTTCCAGTGCAGGGGGTGCGGGTTTGATCCCTGGTCGGGGAGCTAAGATCCCACACGCCTCGCAGCCGAAAAACCAAAACATAAAACAGAAGCAACATTGTAAGAAATTCAATAAAGACTTAAAAAATGGTCCACATCCAAAAAAAAAAAAATCTTAAAAAAAAACTTCAAACAGGGACAGAAACTGAATATTCGGGCATTCGGGATTCAGAACACCATAACACTATGACACTGTCTGAATAAAAAATGAGAAAAACATGTTTACACGGTTACCCTCAGTTATCTTCAATTTTACTTAACAATCAGCATTAATTGCTTCAATCGACGTCTCCCTCATTATCGGGCCACCTGAGACACCTTTTGTGTTTTTTGCTTTTAGCAGTTTTGCCACTTTGGAGCAGGTGCAGGCAAGAGAGCACCTGGCAGAGGTCTACTCAAATTCTCCTGTATGAAAAAGAAGCAAACACCTTTCTTAAGGCAAAGGGCTGCGGGAAGCTAACGCTCTGATTTCCAGCATATCGAGAACCCTTCCTTAAGATACGCCTCACAAAGACAACCCCCAAACCCTAATTTACCAGCCAGCACCTCACTGCTGATGGAGCCAAGATCAGACACAGACCTCCGGCGACGCCACTTAGCAGACCGAGTACAAGCTGGGTAAAAATACGGCGGTCCTGAGCGAGGGAAGATGCGAGGGGTTCTCTAGTCCGAAAGTCGAGGAAGTTAAGTCTCGTCCCCCTCGCGATCCACACGGCTGTTGCAGGCCCGCGGGGTCTGTCACCTCCTCTCCACCTGCCCGCCGACCCCCTGAGCTCGCCGCGGGGAGGGCTTCCCCATTTCTCTGCGTGCTCTCTTCCCAAAACAGACGCGGAGGTTTTCATTCCCGTCCCATCTCCCGCCACACTCTCAGCCGCTTAAACATCAGAAAGACAGAAACGAAAACACCTCCGGGGACCGTCACCATCTTCCTCATTCTCCTGCCATCACCCCAGGAGTGTCGCCAGCCCCGTACGCCGCGAGCGGCTCGCAGGCGTTTCCTGGGCTCAACGATCACGGTTTCAGCCCCCCTCCCCGCCCCCCCCATCTTTTCCGCTCGCCAGAAACCACGCCGGGCTCCGGCTCCGGCCCTCCCGCGCCTCAGCCGCGGCCCGGTCGCCGCCGCTGCAGCCGCCGGCTTTCGGCCGGGGGTCCCCGCACCGCCATCACTCGGGCTCACCTGGGCCTCGACGACGCTCGGGAGGAAGCTCAGGGTGACCAGCAGCTGCAACGCGGCCGCCGCCCCCTGCCCTGCGCCGGCCCGCCCGACCCCCCGGCTCATGCTGACCTCTCCCCTCGCCGCGGCCGGCCGGGCCCCTCGGGGCCGGAGAACGGCGGGCGGCCCGGGCGACGACCCAAGGGGACGACTCCCGGCGGCCGAGAGACTCCAGGGTCAGAGGTCTGCACGCCCGTCGGGAGGTAGGGGACGCTCTGCCTGGCGCCTGGCAGCTGTGAGCGAGGCTGGTGAGTCGAGTGCCCCCGACCTCATCCCCCAGGCGGCCCCGCCCCCGGCCTCCCCTGCGCCGGCCCCACCCCCTCCGACCGCGAGGCCTTTTGGGAGTTGTGGTCCCGCGCGGCCGGGAGGGCGCCTCAGGCCGGAAGGCGGGGCCGGCGGCAGGGGAACCCGGGAACTACAACTGCGGAGACCGCTCCGCCTCCCCGGGGCTTCGGACTGCAAGGCGGCCAATGACTGGGGACCACGCGGGCCTCCAAAACAAGAGGCTGTGCGGGCGGTGCGGGTGGGAGGGAGCGTCCTCCTTTGCGGCCGGCCACCCGCTGCGCCCCTTCCCTTGGCAGTTGCTCCTGGAAAGGGAGCGAAGGGGCCCCACCCTGGGTCTTTGCCCCCTGACACCGCACGGCCGCGAGGCTCCAGGATCTACGCAAATGAGAAACGAGGGCTCCTGGACTTTAAGTGTCGGGCGCTTTCTTTGTCTCACCCACTTTTCTGTAGCCTCACATCTACCGCGGGTGCCTGGATGAGCCACCTGCGACTTGTGGAGATGGCTTCGGCTCCTCCTTCATCTTATACGCCCCAGACGTGGATGTCGTCCTCTGCCTCGTCCAGCTCCCACTCCTATGCTGACACGTACAAACATAATTATATACATAATTACATACATAACTACATAATTACAAACACAAAGGATGGGACGTAACCCAAGTTCATAATAAAATCTGGGAATGGGGATGAACACACAGAAAATTTTGGAGTGATAACTGGGTTCAGCTCCCACCTCTAAAACATCCTAGTTTGTTATGTGGCTTTAGACAAGTTACTTAACCTCTCTGAGCCTCAGTTTGTCCGTCTATAAAGTAAACACACTAATACCCACCTGAAACATTGTTCTAGCATTGCATAAGATTATAAACGTAAAGGGCTTAGTATGGTGCCTAGTATAAAAGAAATGTTCAGGGCCTCCCTGGTGGCGCAGTGGTTGAGAGTCCGCCTGCCGCTACAGGGGACATGGGTTCGTGCCCTGGTCCGGGAAGATCCCACATGCCGCGGAGTGGCTGGGCCTGTGAGCCATGGCCGCTGAGCCTGCGCGTCCGGAGCCTGTGCTCCGCAACGGGAGAGGCCACAACAGTGAGAGGCCCGTGTACCGT